ATGGACCAATCTAAATAGTTAAACAAACATTTCATTATCTGCGACTACAAATCAATAGGAAGCAGGATCACTCAAACAAATGTTTTATCAATACTAATAGTTGATATAAGAATCGCTTGAAGAGGAAATAAATGAAGCTCTAGTTTGAATCGTGTTCCGTCAATCAGATAAAAGTATATATTGATGAATAGTCAACATTTGGACTCTTTTTATTCATTCAGTTTTTCATGCAAATTTACAATTTTTTTCTTTTGTTTTTTAATATGTATGTCTGAATAAAATGAGTTTCTCATGCCAGTGACAATATGAATCACATATCTCAAGATAAATATGTATAACACCATTGATTAAACATAACATAATTACTTAGAGTGCTACTACAGCCTGAATCAGAAATCGTTGCATTGTTGCGATCGGAGAAATGTAACTTGATTGAGACGACTGTCAGTAAAAAAGATCTTGTGGTACAATATCGAAAAATAAATGCTTAAGAAACATTGACCGAAGAACAAAACTGGTGGCACTCTTCTTTAGTTTAAACAGAACTATTGTATTTATAAATATAATTCAGACACAAAGATTACTATATGAAAGAGAAGCGCTTGTGTACAGTAAAAAAATGAATACAATTTCAAAAACTCCAAGATATTACGATGAAAGCATATTGAGTTCCTCTTCTTTTGAATCATTCCTTCAGTTTCATTAATTAATTAATATTTTTGTGAGTTAGGGTATTGTGAGAATAAATATTGCAGAACAGTGACAATAGAAAAAAGACACGGTCGAAAATCTTTTTTCGGAACTACTTCGTGTCGGAAATTTCTATTAGAGATTTTTTGGAATTCTTTTTGAGTTTTTTATAGTTATTGATTAATTAGCTATTTCAAAGATTTTCTCGGTTGTCGTCAATGCCATTTTGAAGAGTTTCCACGAGAACACTCTTGAATTCGATGCAGAAATGTTCAGAAAACGATTCCATAAAATACCAAAGAAAACAAATCCTAAAAGTATAGCTCTTAAAGATAGAATATATTTCCACTAAGAATATGAAATATTCAGAAATGTCTATGTTTTAATACATCTGTATGAGTCTTAATGTAGACTAAAAAGAGCTGAACATATTGAATCAACATGTATTCATTCATGCTTAGAATCTAATAAAGAATCTGAGCTTCAGCTGATTCGAAATTAAAAATCAATTCGTATCCCAAACTTAGGATTATTATTTTTCTATTAAGTTTAAGTGAATTTAACTCATTTGTATTCGTAATGTTTTTTTCAATAACAAATATAAATTATACACGATTTAATTAATTTTCGACATAAATTATTTCCACTTAATTTATAATTTTTTAAATTATCAACTATGTTAAATTATTCTCTCCGTCATTGATATTTAACTCCAGTCATAAGAACAGCGAAAAAATATGCGTTGAAGTTTTAACGAAGATAAAATTGTAAAAAGCACATAGATGAATGCATTCGTAATGTGTTAGATTTTTGTTCGTAATATACATTTGTTCAAAAACATCAACCCATTTCGAACATCTAAAAAAAGTGTACTTTTTAGAATTTTATTTTCTATATAATTCCACACATTTTTTTCGTTGTATCTCTCATTGAGATGAATTATCATATAGAGATAGAATAATTTAATTTAATTTATAATTTCGTAAACTATACATTAGATCCAAATGCATAACGTGTGCTCAAAAAGTAATTTAACAAAATGCTCAGTCATTCTTTGCGACTTTTTGCAGCAACTTACAAAAATCTGAAAACGACTTTTTTTGAATGACAAGTTTCTAATGTTTTCGAATATGGCTTCAAATTTTTTTAAAACTTTTAGTTTAAGAGTTCTGAACTGATATTTACGAGGTCTGCACATTGACGTTGGATGAACTCTAGGCGCTAACACGTATCCGAAGTAGGAGCGAAAATAATCTCAAATACAGTTGATGAAAGAGAAAGCATTGCTTTATAAAATGGTTTGGTGATGATTACATTGCTACAAATCATTGATGAAGAGTGAGTATCTCTAGTCAGGTAAGTCATGTCAATGCATCTAATTTTCTCGATTTCTATGAATCGCAGATGTGCAACAAGAACTGAAGTATTCCTGAATCACTGTTCTGATAATGTTGATTATTGTATCATTTTGTAGCGAAAAATTTAGCCTTAAATTCTATAAAGAGAAAAGGTCAATAATGTAGCGTACTCAACGACCGAGACTATTGCTACAGAAAAGCATCAATTTTGTTCGGCAGCACTTAATTTTTGTGCATTTAAAAGCTTGACTCACATCTTCTAAACCAGAAGTTGTAGAAAACTTTTTTTCAGTTGTTTCAGGAGATCGCAAAGCATGACTGAACATTTTGTTCAATTACTTTTCGAGCACACGCTACACACAAAGAAAAGTAAAGCATACAAACGTAGTGATACTATACAGTTCTTCATTGTACTTTGCTCACACTTCACCTCGATTTTAATTGTACTTTATTCACACTTTGACGTACTAAAATCATGACCCTTTACCTGCTTGCTACGAATGCTATCAGACTTGTTTATTGGAAGAAGTTTCACGCTCAGTAATTTCGAATGCTTTATCTTACACAGATAATCATCTACCCAGAAAAAAGGAACAGCTGTTATGACTTAACGAGCACAACACAACGATCGAAGATTTTATCAGATAAACATAATGAAACAAAATAGTGTTTAATTTTTCGTCACAGCAACGAGCAGATCATCATTTATTAAAGACAAGACTCGTCGGCAATAACCAGTTTTAGAAAACAGTTAGACAAGTTACGACTTAAAAACGATTCTCTTCAAATCAAACATATTATTAGAAAAGATAGAAATTTCATGTATGTATAATATTTATAATTTATACGTAAAATAAAGTATCAGTAATATAAATTATTATTATTGATAATTATTATTTAAAAATAAAAGTAAATTTTAGGAACTGTTATTTATTTTGAACATAAATTATTTGAATCTAATTTATAATTTGTTAAATTATAAATTGAGTTGTTCTATTTCTAATTGATATTTTATCCAAGTCACACAAAAAAAGAACATCGTGAAAAGCGTACATTGTTAGGTGTTCAAAACGCGTTTGCATGTACGCCTTTTATGATCTTAATTTTGTAAAAGGTTCAACATATTTTCTCCTTTGTTTTACTGTCTGAAACGAAATACCGAAAAGAAACAGAATCAATTCATCTGATTACATAATTTAATAAATCATGAACTAAGTACAAATAATGTGTATTTACAACAAATCTAATTGTCTATAATTTATATTTGTTTTTAAATATAATTTACAAATAAAAATTATTTAAATTTAACAGAAAAATGTTATTTCTAGGTTTGAAACGTGGATTAGTTTCGAGTTTCAGATTAGGCAAAGCTCAAATTCTCTATCGAGTCCTAAATATGTATGGTCAGCTCTTTCGAACTGTTTTTGTGACTCATAATAATGCGTTAAACCATAGGCTTTGTTTGATATCCCGAGTACCTAGTGAAAATGTATTCAATTTTTGTTAGCGATACTTTTAGAATTAGTAGTTTTCTATGCTATTTTTTGGGAGTCTTTTTGTCAACGTTTCTGCATCACATTCGAAAGAGTTCTTGAGAAAACGCTTTGGAAAGACATCGATCACGACCGAAGAGCTCGTTGAAATAGTGTATTGATTAATTGTTCTAAAAAGCTCCGAAAATATTTTAGAAAATCTCTTTAGACGAATTTCTGAAGATGGGGAATCTTGACAAGAGAAGTTTGAATCCAGAATGGTGTGTATGTGTAGGAGAAGATGTCGGTGAGTGAGTTCTCTTCAACTGATCAGGCGTGCACACTGAATATTTTCTATGGTTTCACTGTTCTACAATGTTCATCTGGATAATCACCTTATTCAAAAAGCATTAGCTGTTCTTAGAAGATATAATGCATAATATACAAAATGAGAACAAATAATAATCTTTCATTTTAACATCTTCAAGCTTTCGAAATTTTAGTAACATTTACTTTAGATATACACTTCACTTTCAATGTTGTATATGTCTGAATTATACTTATAAGTATAATAGCTCTGTTTAAACTAAAGAAGAGTAGTGAGAGTTTTTTTCTTCGGTCAATGTTGCTTAGGCATTTATTTTTTGACATTTTCATCTCAACATTTTTTTCATTCACATCTGTTTTTTAGCATTTCTTTTTCAATATTGTTCCACCAGATCTGTTTTACTGATAATTGTTTCAATCAAATTACATTTCTTTGATTACAACAATGCGACGACATCTGATTCGAATTGTGGTACCACTGCAAATAATTATGTCATGAGTATTCAATGATGTTATACACATTTATTTTTAGATATGTGATCCATATTGTCACTGGTATGAGAAACTCATTTTATTATTTAGACATATATTCAAGTCATTTTTGTTAACTCTGTTAATTCTTGATTTTCCAAAGAATATTGGATAATTTAATCTATTTTTTCATGAATTTTGTTACAGGTCAAGGCATAGTCAATACACAAGCTACTACTTGTGGATGTTGTCCATCACCATACTGTCAAACAAAAGCAAAGCCATGTTCATTGAACTTAGACTGTGAATGCTTGTTGATGACAATGACTGGAAGAGGAATGTGTGCTGATACAGTTGTATCATGTACAGATTTACTTCCATGTGGCAGCCTGCCGGGAATGTCCTAGACATTCACAGGGACTCACCTTTGTAATACAGAGGTGGGAGGCGCCCCTGGGCTACTGGTAGCCGATCGTCTCAACAACAGGCCAGCCACCTGTTAAAGGGACATTAAACATATCTGGCTAACGAAAAAGATCAAAGTCAGTGCGTTAATGCACTTAAAACAACATTCTTTGGTAGTTGGAATGTGCGATCGTGTTATCGTCAAGCAAAGAAAGAACTTATTATAAAACAACTTCAAAAATATCGAATACAAGTAGCTGCACTTAGTGAAACGGCAATGTATGACTCTGGCGTTCAAAATATTGGTGAGTATACTATGATTTTTTCAGGTCAATCAAGCATCAACAAAACACGAAATGCTCACGGAGTGGCTGTATGTTTAAATAAACAAGCAACAATGGCATGGCACAACAGTGGAAGTGTATGGGAAGCTGTCAGTGAACGAATTTTAATGGTTCGACTTGCTACGTCTCCAGTCAATGTTACAATAATTGCTATATACTCGCCGGTGAATCCAAATGGTCAACAACATGGAGCGGAAGCAGTGGAAATATTTTACGAAGATCTTCAGCGAATCGCCGATAAAGTTTCACCACACGATCTACTTTTACTAATGGGCGACTTCAACGCACGAGTAGGAAAACAACAACACCAGACAAGTGGCAACATCGTTGGTCCTCATGCAGTAGATCGTATCACTGAAAATGGCGAACGATTAATAGATTTCTGTACGGTGAACAATCTCGTCATATCAAACACATTCTTTGAACACAAATCGATACACAAAATGACATGGATGCACCCTCGAAACAAGAAATGGCATATGATTGATTATATTATAGTTAACAAGAAATTCAGATCAAGTATTGAAGATGTCCGAGTTCAGCGAGCAGCAGCTGCTGCTGTAGGAACAGATCATCACCTTATTCGAGCAAAACTCCGGTTCCATCTTAAAAGTCGAAAGAAACTTAATCAACGTCGACCATCACGATTAGACAGAAAGAAAATGCAAGATATCCACCGGGTCGAACATTTCCAGCAAGAACTCGAAAGAAGACCAACAACAACCAGTAGCAACACAATGTCTATCAATGACAAATATTCCGAGTTTGTTGAGTATGTCAAAAAGGTAAGTGTAGATATATTTCAGCAACATGGTAATGGTATACAACGTAAAGAATGGCTTACGGATGAAATTATCGAGGCTGTAGAAAAGAAAGCAAACGCATTTATTCAATGGCAAAATCATCGAGGCTCCAGGGCAGAACAAAGATATCTTCAAAAGTACCGATTACTGAGAACACTTGTCAAAAAGAAGACTCAAGATCGACAAGTGCAATATTGGGATGAACGAAGTCAAGACATTGAAACGGCTATGAAGAAGAATGATCCAGCGACAGCGTATAGATTAATACGACAACTTAAAGGTAGGTGTGCAAATATTGAACATCATCCAGTACAAGACACCAATGGACAGCTATTAATATCTTCAACAGCAAGGCTTACCCGATGGAAAGAATACTTTCAAGACCTACTCAACGTACCAACAAAGGTCAATCCTCTCATTATACAACAAATTACACCAGCCATTATACCAAGTCACGAAGAACTTCGACAAAGCATGACACCATCACTTATTGAAGTGGAACAAGCTATCAATAAAATGAAAAGTGGAAGAGCACCAGGAATTGATGAAATTTCCGCTGACATCCTTAAGGTAGGTGGACCTCCAATGGTCAAATGGTTGCACGAATTTTTTGTAGACATATGGAATAATGAAGAAATGATCGACGACTGGACAACAGCTATCTTGATTCGTCTACACAAGAACAAAGGCAGCAAGGCAATATGCGATAATTATCGAGGCATCTCCCTTCTGACGGCCACAAGTAAAGTCTTCTCGAGAATCATCTTGAATCGAGTGAGCAGCGTGCTTGACAAACGACTTCTCGAAGAGCAAGCTGGTTTTAGACCGAAACGATCGACAATTGATCAAATCTTTACGCTGCAAATGGTTATGGAAAAAACACATGAACTGAACAAACCTATGCACATGTGCTTCATAGATATCCGAAAGGCATATGACTCGATTCATCGACCACTTCTATGGCAAATTTGCAGTCACTATGGAATATCAAACAAGATCATCCGTATGTTGCAATTAATGTATACCAACACAAAAGGTCAAGTCAGAATCAACGGTGAACTCTCTCCTAGCTTCCAAATTGAAACTGGAGTGTTACAAGGTGGCATTTACTCACCAATATTATTTAATGTATTCTTCGATTTTGTTATCCGACGTGTTATTGAAAAAGCTGGTATTCTTGGTATAAAAGGCATCGAACTGGCATATGGTAGCAATGATTTCTTCCATCCTGATAGTGAAGGTTATGTAACATTCAATATATTGGTATTAATGTACGCTGACGATCTGGTAGTCATGTGTTCCAATAAAGCCGATCTTAAAAAATTCATGTATTTATTTGAAGAAGTAACACAAGAATGCGGACTTATAATGAATATCAGCAAAACTTGTATTATGTCGCTCCAGCAGTACGAACAAGATGGTACAAGAAGAGTTATAAAAAATATCGAAGTTGACAACACAAATATAGACATTAACATCCGCAATGAAAAAATAAATGTTGTGACTGAATTCTCCTATCTCGGTTGCCATGTTACACAAGATCAAACAATACAGAAAGAAATTGAAACGAGAATATTGAAAGCATCAAAAGCCTTCAATGCGCTTCGTAACATAATTTGGTACAGGAAAACAATATCAATTCCAGCAAAACTGCGAATTTTTCGCGCCTGTGTAATTCCAGTTCTTTTATATGGAAGTGAAACATGGTCAACAACGATTGTACAAGAACGAAGACTCAATGTTTTCTACTTGAAATGTTTGAGAACCATCATAGGCATAAACTTGGGTGATCGAATGTCAAACGACAAAATTCTACAACTCACCGGACAACCAGAAATCAGTGAATTGATTAGACGTAATCGACTCCGATGGTTCGGGCACGTAAATAGAATGGAAAATGCTGATAGCAAAACGTCAATCGTCAAAAAATGCATGTACTCTTATTACCCAAAATCTAAACGTCCTCGTGGTATTGGCAATAGAAAAACATGGTCAGATAAAATTATGGACGACATCACGAAATGTGGAATTCGAAACTGGAGGAAAGAAACAATGAACCGCGACAAATGGAGAAAAACAATAAACAAAAATGCATATATTAATCCACCTGCATCTAATATAATCAATGTTATTCAAGATTATAAACAACGTGCAGCCGAACGACGTGCAGAAGCGAATATGAAACAGCCACGTTGGCGAAAAGTAAGCGAAGTCTTAACTCGTACAAATAACAACGATTACATTTGCCCAAAGTGTAAGAAGCATTTCAAACCGCAAGGCATAACAAACCATGTGCGATCGTGTGCAACGTCCTGGTGTAAACAAAACAAGATTCGGACATAAAGCATTTACTTGGTGATAAAGCTGAATACTAGCTATCATGCGCGCCATGATGAAAACTATCGAAACCAAGTCCGCAAGAGTTGGAGATAGTTTTCGGAGAAACAGCTATGATCTCGAGTATTCGTCGACAATCAAGCATAACAAATACCGAAGAACATCAAGAGACTCATAGACTTTACTTTACTTTACTTTCTTTCTCTTTTCCTTTTTTTTTTTTTTTTTTTTTCTTCGCCTTTTTTGTTCCATTATATTTTATTACGCTTTCGTTGTATATACTATACATTGTACTTTGATCTTCACCCCACACTGAAAGGTAAGGGTATATTAAATAAATAAATAATACTTCCATGTGGAAATGATAATAAGACATGCTCGACACCTAATACTATATGTGTCAATAATACTTGATGCAACAATCCTGTTTGTTATCCAATAGAACGTGCCTCTTCCCAACGATGTCTACAATTAACTTCGACAAATTTAACAAATAGTCCACGTAAGTTTTTTCGACTTCGATGTTGACGAAAGCTATTATTTGAATTACATTAACAACAATGAAGATATCGCTCAAACTAACTAGAGAAATATCAGTAGTAACTAGTAACTTCTTCAAAACGAGCGATTTTTTTTTTATTATAACAAAAAAAGAAGGAAAGAAACAATGACTTGCGTATTACTTAAACATCAATCGCATCTATATAATATTATTTACGGAGAATAAATGAAAAAACTAATAACGAGGATAAGGCGAATAGGAGATGATGACTATCACAACACTTTGTCGCGTATAAATTCTCCGATAAATTTATATCGATCAAGATCACAACATTAACGATTCGCTTCATTTTCAGAAAAAACGAAAAGATGATTATTTTTAAAGCTCTGAATATTCTAATCGCCAGCATAGAATTTATTAAATTGAATTTTTTGTATTTAGAGGTGACAAAAAAAATCAAAAAAAAATGAATGTTAACCATCAATTTTTAAAAATCAAAACAATCAATTTCATGACTTTTATCCAAAAAAAACCTGAATTCAGCTGTTTTCTATTTGGCAGACTTCGAATAACTCTATCATGAAACCAAGCAAGTTTGAAACCTGAGTCATAAAAGGGAGTGCAACTGCTAAAAATTCTAGTAGCCATTAAATATCAAAAAGCATCACGATCATGTTACTTGTCCTAAATTATATATTCGATAAAATTCTGAAAACTGTAGCTCTTGTTGGCGGAGACATATATAAATAATGTTTCTAGATATCAGCGTCATAGAATAAGCGAACGTTGTAAAACTGGGTTTCGAATTTAGTGGAAGATGTTTTGATAACACAGAAGAAATTCCTTGTATTCGTCTAAATTTGTTATTAATATCCTATAAAACTACTCCCTATTTAATTAATAAGATAATATTCGTATCAGAAATGTTCTATCGAGCATCTCTCTCTTGTCCAAGATTATACTTTCTTTCAGTACCTCATATGTGTGGAAATCTGACGAGAGCTAAATATCATTGTAAACAAAGAGCTATTTCCTACAAAAGTGATATACAATGTCCATACGCAAATCCACAGCTCACTGTATTGAAGTAATCCTTTCTAGAGTGGTCGAATACTAGCAGCATACTTGCAGTATGGTCTTATCACACTGCATCAACATTAAGCAGTGGAAAAGTGTTGGTTGCTGGTGGATTCGACTTTAGTAGCTATTTGAATAGTGCAGAGCTGTACGATCCAACAACTAGACTTTGGACACAAACTGGCAACATGACTACTGGACGGGTCTATCACACAGCATCGATACTTAGTAATGGAAAAGTCTTAGTTGCTGGTGGAGTGGGCAATATTTATGATTCTAGTGCAGAAATATATGGATGATCGTTATTAGACTGGACTATTACGTATTAGACTCAAAGTTGAACTTCTAAATCATATTCTACTATTTACTCTTCTATTGCCTAAGCAGACAAATAAGGATTATAAGAACATTTAAACGCGTTTAATAAGCGTTTTTACCGGTTTAAAACATTTAAACGTGGTTATTGTTTCTATTGATATTCTAAGCGCATTTTTCATAGTTTTTTTAATAGTATACGTCGATTGTAATTATTAAAATTTTAGTTCTAATATCACTTTTGTCTTTTTCGGATTCATCTAATATTTTCTCTCTTTTTTCTTTCTTGGAAACAAGTATATCTTTTTTCGATGATTAACTTGTAGATAGTGGCATAATTCTAACTATACACTATTATAACAATTTAAGATAGACAAGTGAAAATTTTACCATTTCTTTCCCAATTTACGTACACACGCATTTTCTCGCATATTACTTTCCCCGTTTTCTCATTCGCTGTCCTTCTTGTATCTGAATTAATCGAGCAGAACGAAAAAGAAAACTACTTTCTTGATTATTATTCTTCGTATACTCGCTTATTCTTTTGTGAAACTCACATATATTCTCGAAGAATATAGTGAGTGTAGATTTTCAGTTGAACTTTTCTGGCTCCTCACCCCCTTGCCCCATCCGATCACAGATATTTAACACTTCCACAAAAAAAAGGAAAAATTTCTGTTCAAAGTATAGAAATAAAGAGAACAGCATTTACTGACGATCAGTTATCATTAGAAAGAACTATTGCCTTTGAGAGAATTAAAATATTGTATATTTTGTCATTAATATAATGAAGCTAAAGATGATATGTGGGCTCCACCTTTCAGCTCCAAAGAGGCTGCACTAATAAGCTTTTGTTTTATATGTTCAATTGTATTCTATCGTGCTTGTTGGAAATTGGAAATATTCAGTGAGAAAAGAATACTTTTTACTACTAACTTTTTTCGAGCTCCATTCTTTCAATGGATAACAGTCATTGGGTTGTCGAATAAGATATCATTGATCAACAATTTTTTTTTATGAAGAATTATCTAGAAAGTATATATTTAATCATCGAATTTAATTTTTGCGAACCAGTATCACGCAGTGCTTTTCACTGATTTTATAGAAGACACGATTATCAAATATTCGATGAATGATAATCGGAACGATGGCAATGAGGAATGTGTAGATGAAGGTGACCATAAATCAAAAGTGAGCGTGTGCATGTGTGTGAATTTTGGTGTATGGTTGTGAGAAAATAGAAGACTGATACCTACATTCAAACAAACTGTGAGTTCTACTTGATATGTGCAGAGACAAAACACGTTAAAACAAGCAGAGATATCTCAGTTATATAATTTTTATTTTTATTAAAAAAAAGACTCAAAAATTGAAAATGATCAAGCATCAAACTTTTAGGGAGTCAAAACTTGCCACCACATATGTTTTCTCTTCATTAGTAAACTGAATAAAAAACAGTATGGAATATACTGTACGGTAATCATTTAGAACATCTCAAAGCTCAAGATATTAAAACATTACGTAAATCTTACGTGATGCTGGCACATTTGTGACATGTTCCCAAATAGACATAAATTATGAGTATTGATGGTTCATATTTCATATTTAATGATGAGACCTAAGCTTGAAGCACTCAGAAAGTTATGAAGACAAGATGATGAATCCTTTTCTTATGTTACTATGTATCCTCTTTATAGTATATCTATATGATATAGATAAGAGCAGCTACCACTTTCAGATACATCAAGCACTTAAAGATCCAACCATTCTTAACTTTGATTGTTAGTTATATGTCTGCTTTAGAGAAATGTGTTAGTTAGCGACAGCTCCTTGATGAAATTGCATCTCTAGCTAAAAGAAGCAATATACAACGAATCACTCAAAATCCTGTTGTTTGCTTAAGATTTCAAGAGTGTGAATGGTGCTTGTCTTTATCGACATTCACACCCTATTTTCTTTTTCTTTTATTCTTCTGTTTTCACGATGATGATTTAGAATATCATTCAATTACAGAATTTGATTATATCAAAAACACTTCTTTATTTATTGATTTTTTCCTTGCATAAAAGTATTGAAATATGAGCTGATTTTATTTATAGAAAACATCTTGATTTTTTTGGCGATTTGTTTTTATGTATTGACTAAGTTTGACGTCATATATCTATATTATTTACAAAGTCATAATATTTGATTGTTTACGTAAATTAAAATTAAAATGTTCTGATAAATGATATAAATATATTTGAACTGTACTATTGCATTTAGATGAATGAAATAATTTTACATTTGTTGATCAATTTAAAGCAGTTTACAATTCTGTTTTAGATTTGGCGATTATTTACTTTAATTAGTTAAAATAAATCACCAAACATTGAATAAAATATGCTTTTGCAATCGTTGGGAATTTAATAAAACTTAATGATATTTTTCGTTTAAATACTATTTCATGAAAACCTTGGCGTTAATTTCAGCAAAAACAACGTTAAATATTTTTTATTTTTACATGATTAGGGTGTCTTTAAAATACAGTTCAGACATTGATTTTTCTCTTTTCTTCTGTTTCATTCTATGGCGTTGGTCTATTTCAAAACATAGAGAATCGTTTATATTGATCAATTTAGGACACTTCTGCTTGTTGATAGGCCAAAAATAAACTAGTAAATGAGTGTAAAATGCATGATTGGGTAAGATTTTTCTATTCACATTTTTTTCTCTTACAGCAATCAATTACGCATTTATTATCTACAGGACCCAATATTTTAAACGTATAGCTCGTTCTTTTTACTGAATACATACTACCTTGCGCACATGGCTCGTTTATCAAACTTATTATTTATTTTATTGATTGCTGTATCGTTACTTTATGTTTCAGCCAACGTTGTTGTATATACTGTTACTTTTGTTTCTTGTGTTCAGAATTCAACTTGCCCTCAAGGAAATCCAACTTTCTTCAATCAGACTTTTTCTTTAAATGGTACTCTCAGTCCAAATCTAACTTTAAACGTTGGTGATCAATTAATATTCAATTTGGCAACAAATGTTCCAATTCATCCGTTAACAATCTGTCAAAACAGTTCCATACCTAAATTTTGTCAAGGAAGTGATACCACTAATCAACTTAGTACTCCAATTACTCAAGCAGGTACTAATGCTGCTGCTACTTTCATGAATGCTGGTATTTATTATTATGGATGCAAAAATCATCCTGGAATGGGTGCTATAATTAGTATTGTTCAAACAACTACTTCTACACTACCACCTGGCGGTCCTGGTACTAGACATAAATGTTCTGGATACCTCTTGCTCATCACTATTATCACTTTAATCGCAACTATTTTCATCTAAAATCGATGCATTTCTCATTCACTTTGAATTTCTGTGCTTAATATGCTGTGATTCTCGCTTTTCTTTTTTTTTTTCAATAAAGTACATATTTTATTTGCATAATGAAATCATAGTTGAGGCACCAAGAATTAGTTGAGCGAGATGGAAGAGGTGAAAATTGTTTCCATATCTACTCTCACACAGTGACGCAGCCAGGATTTTTTGGTATGCTGGATCTCAGCTTCAGAGCATAGGACCTAGATGAAACTTATGGAGGATGATATTGGACTCCAATAATGAATCTTTATGAAAAAAATTTTTGCAATTGGAGTTTGTGAAAAAAAAATTTTTTTGGTTTTTATAATATTACGTTTTTTTAAGTTTTTTCGTAATCTATATCGAATTTCATCGATAGATTTAAAATTTCTTTAAAACAAAATGCATCCGTTCAGAAGTTATAACGTTTTGAATTTTTGTAAAATGTAGCAAAAATTTTTGGAAATATTCGGAACGCTATGACTTCTGAACAGATGCATTTTATTATGAAATTTTAAATCTATCGATGAAATTCGATGTAGATTATGAAAAAACTTTAAAAGACGGAATATTACAAAAACTAAAAAAAATTTGTGAAGGATCAAAAAAATATTTTTTTTTTCGCAAACTTCAATCACAAAAATTTTTTCATAAAGACTCATTATTGGATTCCAATATCGTCCTCCATAAGTTTCACTTAGGTTTCATGCTCTGAAGTTGAGCCTCAGCTTACCGAAAAATTCTGACTGCGTCACTGCTTCACTCCCTCTGTCTTTACTTACAAACAACTGGTATTTATATCAGATGTTAAAAGAAAGATGAAATTTACCAAAATAGATAATGTAATACAATTGGAAAAACACATGAATGATCATATTAGGGTGTGAGTATGAGTCTTCTTTTTCTCAGCATTTCACACGCACACCCACATCTCATTATGAGCTTTTTTAATTCCTATGAGATTACTCTTGTTTATTGATAAATAACTTATTTTATAAGACACTAAGAAATTTGATATAATTCAGAAAAAAAGATAGAATACATCGTTGCAAATCGTAACAAATGTAAGTTTTAAGAGAAAAATAAAATTTTTAATCTATGTAAGGTTAACTGTAGCTTATGGAGGCATGAATTTTTATTCCTTAAAGATTTTCGATCGATGAACAATTAGTAGATGACGTCCATTGTTAATAATAAAAAAGGGTTACTCTCAACTTGACTTTAGTTTGAAAGAATGTTATTCGAAGTAAATTCTTATTTTGCAAGCTTAAGTTAAGCAGTATGATTCGAATAAAACAATTAATCAATTTCAAACAAAGTGTATCGATGTAGTCGTTCGATAATCGACTTTATCATTTAAAAACAACAAGAAGTTTTAATTAAATTGATTAGGCAAAAGAACAAAATCAAAGAGAATTTTATCGGTACTACATAGAGATCTTTGTCAGTTGCAACTATAATCGTAAATAAAATCAAATATTATTATTTAAAATGAATTAATTATATTGATTTAAAAATGCATTTAATATTCAAATTAACGAACTTGAAAATTATAAAAAAAGAAATATATTAATTTATTTAAGAAAATGAATTACTGTAACATTTTATATTTCAATGGTTACAGAAAGCATTTAAGATATTGAAAAAAATTGTCAAAATTTTTGAAAATGTGCATCGACTATATTAATAGAAACAGAGCAAGTTGAATTGATAGATAACTTATGAAAATATTTTAGATAGTTTTCTTTTTCCCTATGACGTAAATTCAATTACCAACACTCCAATCAGCTTTTATAAAATTTGATGAGTTTCTTTTTAAAAAAGCGAATCCTCACCCTTAACAATTATGACAAGAAGTAAATGGTTTTAAGAGAAAAGAGATACAGATGGTAACATTTCCAAGCATATAAGCACCGAAATATACTTATGTAAAACGAGAATATGTAAATATTCTTATATATTCACTTAACAAAAGTACATGTGTCATCCTATTCATAGATTAGTAATAACATTGCTGATTCATTACAGTACTATCAGTAATTTTCGAAGTGTTTTTCTAAATATTATCGTAGCAGTGAGAAGTATTCAACTACAATGTGCATCTCTGACAGATAACATACAAATCTGTTGTTTCGAATAAACTTTCGTCTGAATGATCAATACAAAGATTATTATCAGTATCTTAACAAGATGGCTCTTGATGATGATCGCATTGCAAAAAAAATAAAAAACGATATCATATATCAGTATCATCATCATCAGAGAGCATTGTTTTTTTTTGTCTTAAAAGTCTTTCCTATAATTTTATTGATTGATAATGTCAAGTTAAATATTATAGATCATCAAATCATGGTTATGAACGTCAATTAAATACTTGTGTAAATATAAAATGATGTAGATTTTCGAGAAATGATCAATAATGTCAATAAGTACAGATAAAAAACATAAATATTTACTTGAAAATATTCAATACTTTTAATATTTCAAATTATGTCTTCATTTGACTATGTTCATGACAGAATAATCTTCATGATACAATAGGAAGTGATACTAGAACTTTTTGTCACTTATGCAATCTGAGTTGCTGCTAAATACTTACCGAAGAGTAGACTTCTGCAAAATGGTCACGGTCACGAGAGACCGTGACTGTGACCAAATAGCTCGTGATCGTAACTTATTGGTGAAAAATTTTAATATTAAAAATCTGATTTTTGTGAAAAAAAATCAAGATTTTAATTGATTTATGGGTTTTCTTTGTTTTACTACAGAAGAAATCTACGAAATCAATTTAAATCTTGATTTTTTAGCACAAAAATTGAGCTAGTAATCCAAAATCTCCGTGACCGTGACTAATTTCGAAAAATCCCGTGACTATGAACGTGACCGTGACGTGACGTGACTGAAAAATCGTGGTCACGCAGAAGTCTACCGAAGAGTTCTCTGTACGCCAAGAAGAAAATCGTCATTGACGAAGAAAGTTAATCTTCCTTACCATGTTTTGTCAAATCTCTTAGCTCTACTATAATTATAAGATATTTCTCAGGTCAACTTTGCTCTTTGAAACGAGAAAACTATAGAATTTCTACGAAGAATTGTCGTTATTCTGTATTGGAAATTTTTTTATAATAATGCTTCAAACAAATCTGATTAATAATAGATATATAGTATTTCCTTCTACAATAAACTAATAGACGTTTATTTTTACTAAACATTTGAGTTATGCACTATGAAATTTAAAGATAAATTCAAAAAGGATATGCAAAAAATTGAAATTCGCTTTCTTTTTATTGGTTAGCATAGTTCTAATACGAACAAAATCTTGTATAATTCAAATTTTTCATCAGATATTGAATTGATTATATTTTTACTGTTTTTTTTTAATACAAACTTTATGAAAGTTATCATATAATATAATTTTTAAGATTTAAAGATTGATCTTATGTACTGAATAAATTGTACTTAAATAAATGCTTTTTTCTTTTTCTTTTTCTTTTTCTCTTTTTTTTTTGTTTTTCTTTTCGTTCTTCGTTTTCTTTTCATATTCTTTTCATTTATAATTCATTTTATTTCTTCGTCAGACAGTTGACTACATTACGAACGATGACGTCATGTGACACATTATCACCAGGCAAGTTTGCTAAACATGTTGTCTATCAAATATGTCTCGGTTTTTCATGTGCTATACGAGGTTTTATTCTTTCATGGAATAATGCTTGTAAGTAATAATTTATTTTTTTATAAATACAAAAATTTAAATATAATAAATTTTAGATGTATGGCAAACACAAAAACGTTCACTTGTATCACTTATTGTGTGTACAATTATTATTTATACTATACTTGTTATTACATTTCTACCATTTCGTTTAATTGTTTGGCTTATTTCATTTGCTTATAAATTTGCACCATCAGTAATTGAATGGTTCGAACATGTTTCATCAGCACGAACACTTCTATTTAAACTTTTATCATTTATACCACTTCTTGCTGTATTTATTATGAATAATTTATTAGGTATATCAAATACTTTTTAGTTTAGATATTCTTTTTTTTTTGTTTTTGAAATACAATTACTAACTATATTCTTTTTTTTTATTCAATAGGATATGATAAATTATTTTTTTCTGTACTTGGATCTGTTAATCCATCATTAGCCGAACGTCTTAATTCACGTGCTCGACAATCATTTACAAGTTCATTATATTTTTTTCTTCGTCGTACTCTATTAATATTTTTAACTGTAACATGTATTCATTTTCTTCGTTCAATACCATATTTAGGTGAACTTATACCAGCTCTTTGGATATTAAAATATGCACGTTATACAATAACAAATACAAAACATGTTTATTTACGTACAATATTTTTTATTTTACTTATTTTATTAACAATTTTTAAATCATTACAATCATATACAATATCAATATTACATTTACAAATGGCAAGTACAGCATTAGCACGTGAATTATTTGATACATATTTATCACGTATACATACACATACATTAAAAAATTATCATCCAATAAATATACAAATATATCCATTACCATTAAATTATCAATTTTTAGGTTTTTTTCTTCCAAAAATTTTTCATCCATTATTTAATTGGAAAATTAATTCTAATAATGATATATCATCTGATGAATTAATATTACCACATAGAAAAATAACACATTTTTTACGTGAAAATTATTTTCTTTTACTTGCATTTGCATTTCCATATATATTTCTTTTTTCAATACCATTATTAGGATTTTTTTGTGTAGGATTTGCACATGGTGCAGCTGCTTATACACTTGCTATTATTACACAATAAATAATAAGACAAAAAAAAAATTTTTATTTTATTTTTTAGATAGACAAAAAAAAATCAAGACTATTTATATTCATTTATGGATCGACAAGAATTTTTTCAATCATATATGGATCATTGGGGTATAACCGATGTATTATTAGATTGTTATGTTGATTTATTAACAATGGAAATGATGGATGAAAATACTGATCATAATAATAAAATGACACCAATGGCTTTTTTTAAACAATTACTTTCTGAACATCATATTAAATGTAAAGAACAACAAGTATTTGAAGATGAAATTCGTCAATTAAAAGAAGAACTTAAACGAATAAGAAATACATAATCTATTTTTCTTTTTTTTTTAATATTATTATTATTATTATTATTTGTATATTATTTTGTTTATTTGTTTGTGATATGGAGAAAATAAAGAGATATTTGAAATAATAGTAAAAAAAGAAAAACAATTTTTTGATGAATCATAAAATCTATTCAAGAATATAATAACTAACTAACTAAAGCATAGATCATGTGCGACATCAATACAGTCAGAGAGGGAGATAAATAAATAGAACGAATCACAGAATATATTTTATTCGTTCATAGAATTCAACTAAGATTGGCAAGGACATATAAACAACGATAATAGAAAAACAGTAGTAAATATAATAATGTATGGACGAAAACGAAATAGTAAGTTTTTTTTTTTGTTTTGAATCAAAACTGATTTTTATACATGGAATCGAATTTTTTAAATAGATATTACATCATATTCACAATATAGTGAAGATGAACATGACGAGTAAATCTTTTTTTTTCTACTTTTTTCGTAAAATAAAATTTTTTTCTTTTTTTTGTATAGACTTTCAAGTACAGATTCGACATTAGTCATGTTAGTTATACATAATCTTGATCATATGATGCAACCACATGAATGGGAAACATTATTAACTCGTGAAATTCATGGTGCTCGTGTTAGTTATTTATTCATTTTTTTTCTAATTGATTCTATAGGAAAATTTATTTTATTTTATAGATTTTAGGTGTAATTGTAGTACGTGAACCATCATCATTACGTCCATGGGGTGAAGGTGAATTAACAGCATATATATTTACACGATATGATGCATCACTTATTCGACAATATTTACATAATCGACGTCTTGGTTTTCGACGTTTACATGTTGATACAATAACAAGTGAAAATGGTATTGAAGTTTTTCTTATGTAAGTAAATATAATTTACATAAATGTGAACAAAGTCTATTTTAGTTTTTTTTCTTTTTTTGCAGACACAAAATTCTTCAATTACTTAAACTCAATCCACAAATGTCTGATATTACAATTGAACAACGTATCAATAGTTTTTTCCGATGGTTTGTTTTTTCTTTTTTGTCCTTGTATAAACTTTAAAAAAAAAAACAAATTCCGTTTTCATTGTCTATAGTATGCCATTAACCGTACGTCCACGAGATTATGATCGTACAACTGTAATGCGTTTAATTCATGAATGTATGGGTTTACCAGCATCACCACCAGCAACAAGTGAAGATAGTGAAATTGATAGTGATTCACCACCATTACGTTCTAAATCTAATGTACAATTATTACAACAACAACAACAAATACCATTAGAACAAGAACAATCTATTATTAATTCACAATTAATTCGTATTGATGAATGTACAATGCAACTTCATTTTACTCCATTTTATTTTGGTAAAGAGAAAAATTTGTGGTTTTTTTTTGTTTTTGAAATTTTTTTATTTTTTAATAGAACTTTTGGAAGCTATGTCGATTAATGGAATAGATAATGAAAATGATCAATTATTAGATGCTAAACTTTTCTAATGTTTTTCTTTTATTTTATTTCGAAAGTTTATTGAATTCTATTTTTTTTTTTGTTGAATGTATTAATGATTTCTTTTATTTTCCGTATATTGTGTGGTGAAGATTGCGTCGTTGTTATGATATGATATTGACTTTTCTCTTTTTTTAAAACAAAAAAATAGTATATTTTAAACACTACTGAAATTTATACCGTTTAATTAATATTTTAATCAAGCTCAGAAGACAGATGACTACAATGAAGAATATAAAGAATTTAATTAAAATTTATTTACATTTTTTTGATGAATTAATCGAAAAAGAAAAACAAATTGCTCATTTTATATATTTTGTTATTATGTATTGCAGAGATGTCCATCGCGGCGCGACCGCTGCCGCTGCCGCTATGGCGGTGGCGGCGCAGTAGCAGTTGTTTTTTTCAAATAAACATCGCGGCAGCGGCGCGATAGCGGTAGGTTTTTTTTGGAGAACAATGCAAAAGTGCATGAATTCGAACAGAATTTCAATGTTTGCAAGTGCAAAATTATGAGATTCAACGAATCTTATCGATTGGTATCAACAGCTCTAGTCCTGAACAGTCACAGATCGTAAAATTCACAACATTATTCTAACAATCATCGCGGCAGCGGCGCGGTCGCGGCATGGTTACTTTTGGTGGCGTCGCGGCAGCGGCGCGATAGGTTTTCTGTTTTTATCACCGCGGCGCGTTAGCTTTTTTCTTTTATCGCCGCGGCGTGGCAGCGGTCAGTTTTCAACCGCGATGGACATCTCTGATGTATTGTATGCAAATATTATATAAATCTAATGATTTACAAAAAATCTATCAAGATTTTTTACAGTTCACGATGTGCTTCTCTAAAGTATTCATTTAGTTTTATTTCATAACGTCTAACTTATAAACTGCATTCGAGCACATATTTTGATAATTGTCAGGAATAAAATTGTGCAAATAAAAGTCATACGAGAATATGTGTTATTATTGTAGTTTCTTCATTTAAAAATCATAATCATTTTACTGAGTTTTCAATCTATCACAGAATATTATCAGGTAAACTGAATTATCACAAGTAACAGAATTTCATAAACTACTTCTTTTCGATGAAATTTTCAGAATATTATAAAGACTATGGAATTTATATTGAAATTTCGAAAAGAATGGTTTTAACAATAAATAGATATATTCTAAGAGAAGAATATTCATAAAATTTGATATAAACTAATTGCTTTTCCATTTACTACATTTTGTTTGAGAACAGATTGCTGAACATTATCACAGATAAACAAATTCATTATTTGAACGTTTCTATTGCGATGAGAGAGAATAAATCTTATCTTTTATAGTAATAATTTAAAACAAAAAAAAAACGATTCTTTTTTTTTTTGCATATATATTTAACTTCTATCTTAAAGTTATATGAAATACGATGCATTAAAATATATTCTACGAATGAAACGGAAATCTCTTAATAGTTCTCGTATATACTTATATTTTTAAAAGCTTTGCCATTTGTAACTGAAAAGTATGGAATGTATAATCAAAAAATCACGTATGCAATAATTTTAGTTCATATTTTTATATTTCTCATTTAAAAAAAAAATCACACATTATAATTCTATACGACAAAGAACAAAATCTAATGTCTCCCTCATTAAATAAATGCAATATTAAAAAATCGTAGAATTCAAATATCAATATTCTTTTTATTCCATCAATCAAAGAAAGAAAACAAATGGAAGTAGAACTTGAAACGAAAGTTGTTCTTAAATGTATAAAACAAGGTAACGTTATGTGATTAAAAAAACACAATCTTTTCTGTTATGCCGTTACTATGTATTAAAAAGAACGAAGAAAAATATTTTTTTATTTGTTAAAAAATTTTACATAGTAACATACATACATAAAAAATGTACTTTCATGAATCTGATCTTTTTCCATATGAACCAATATCACCTATGTTAATGATTATTTATATATTATTATCATGTTGGTTTTTTAATATACTTAATCAAATAATAATACCAAATAAAATTAATGAAACAAATTGGTTAAAATATAATATATTACTTAGTTGTATTCATGCTGGTATTTGTTCAATATTAATTATAATAGGTGTTTTACGAGCACCAGAAATATTTCAAGATCCATTATCACATATAAATCATTTTAATTATGCATTAATTGCATTTAGTACAGGTTATTTTTTATATGATTTTATTGATTGTATAAAATATTCCAAATCATCAACAATTGCATTTCTATTTCATCATGTTATTGTTATGGCATTTTTTATACATATTCTTTATTATACACGTAATATTGGTTATGCTATATATGGTCTTTCAATTGAAATTAATAGTTTTTTTTTACATGCTCGACGAGTCATACGTTGGCATTCACCTATATTTACATCAATTTATTATAATAATCTACTTAAAATAATTATTGATATTGGTAATTATATAACATTTATATTATTTCGTTTTGGTATTGTTATTGTTGGTTTACGTGCATTACATATTCAACGAAATCGTCTTAATCCTATCGTACATATATTTACTGTTACAGCTACATCAGCTATTGGAATTTTAAATATTGTTCTTTTTTATCGTCTAATTAAAAGTCAAATGAAGAAAAAATTAAAAATTAAACAAGAAGAACAAATTGAAGATAATATTTTGATTACTGATAATGAAATTTTATTACCAAGTTAATTATTAAAAAAAATCAATAAATGAAATTAATACGAAGAAAAAAGAAATAGTATTTATAATGATAAAGTTGAAATAGTACATAGAAGATTAATTTATTTTAAGTGATAGAATTAAATAACTTTCGATCAGGATTAAATCATAAAAAATTAATCAATGTCAAATGTCATATAAGTTAACATAAGAGAATGATTTTGAATCAGTCCGTGTGTCAAAAATTGATCCATATTAAAATCTACTTTCGAATTAAACTTTATAATAATATGCTCTACTATATCATAATGAATGATCTTATCTATGATATTAATCAAAATAAAATATATGAGACAATCATTGGTTGAAATAAATCAAATAAAAGAAATTTATCCCACATATTTGCATTCATAATTCATTGTGATCTATAATTATCACATCGAGTAAATCTATAATATCAACTAACCAAAAACAAAAAGACTCTCAAAGTTATATCCGATCGTTGAGTTCATATTGGATCTATAAAGAATTTATTTATGTAGGTTTTTCGAGTTGAAGTATCATTATTTTATTATCTTTAACTAAGTTTTATATGATATAAAAATTGAGTTTACTTGAACATTCACTATTTTTTTGTTTTCAAAAAGAATACGATTTTTAGATAAAATGTTTTTGATTTTTCTAAATATAGAAATAAATCTTCAGAAAACGATAACGTTATTTCTTTTTTTTTTTGTGAATCTAAATAACATCAACTATTTTTCATAACAACCTTCAATTAAAATATCTTTCAATACAATTGTTTCGCATTAATCTTAATAAACCGTACTAACTGTAGATGAGATATCATGTAGAAACATTTAATAAGAAAAAAAAAAAAAAAATGAAAAATTACAATTCAAAAAAAAAACAATTGATGATCAAAAGTATTCTTTCATCAGTATAATAACTACAATTATTTCAAATTGAACGATTCAATGAATTTAAATATGAATTATTCATAGGTCAATGTTTTTTATTTTTATAGATGAAAAGAAGAATAATGTTACTTGAATAATATGAAGTTTCACATTGTTCAAATAAAATTTCTAATCTAATTCAATATAATATAATATTTCTTGATCAAAAAAAAAAAAACCTAAAGTAGTGAATAATTCTCATTTGAATTTATTCGATCATTCAATTTGAAATAATTTTAGTTATTTTATTGAATAGAATTAAAACATGTAAATTCAAATATTAATTTACAATGAAGATTTAATATCAAATCTCATAATAATTGACAAATAAAATTGTCTATACTTTTTTTCTTCATCCAAAAAGTTCGAATTTTTATAATAAATGTATCGAATTATGAACTTAAAGTTTCAACTCTAGTACTAAAATAAATGATCAAGATTGAAATTTAGAATATTACAAAATAACATCTGCATGATTCGTAAACGCAATCATCGGTAGAGAACAGAATTCTCAATTCGATACAAATAATTGTTGACGATAAATTTAGAAAAAAACGTCTTTTCAACATCTTTGTATTCTCTTTTCTCGACAAAATGTTTAATGCTTTTTTTTTTTTCTAAAATTTGCTAGAGACAGCAATAAAATTTTATCAGTCTATTTAATCATCATAAAGAAACTAAAATGAATAAATAACTACAAGTGCAATTAACCATAACGAACATATGGATTGTTATCATTCACACTCAAATTATCTTTTGTCATTCGATACTACTACTACTATATTATAATCCATATAAAGATCTTTATTCACATCAATCATTAAGTATTTCAATTCGATACAAATAAAATTTCAACATACAACAAGTTATTATTCAATGTATAATGATTGCTGTGAAGTTTTGGTTTTTTTTTTTTTTTTCTTCAAATTACATTTAAGAAAAAACAACAACAAAATTTTAGATCTTTCAATACTATACAATTTGTTTAATATATAACATAAATGATGTCAATTCTTTATCATTTATTCATTAGTTTATAATTACAAGAATTTTAGTAAATAAAATATTTTACATAAATAAATTTATAATGAAGTCTAGCAAATCATAAAACAAAGTTTTAGAATAGAGTTTAATTTATGCGTTACAATCAGATGTATGTATCATGTCAACTAATTCACATATTGCTTTTTTTATTTGTTGCTTACTTTATTCATTTTTTAAACTTATTACTCTACTATGTATTTATGTAAAGAAATTTATTTAACTGAAGAACATGTACACGTAAGTTTTATTTGTCTTTCTTTTTTTACAACTATTAAATTTAGTTCTATTGTAAATACAAAAAAAAAAAGAATAATTCAGTGAAAAAGTATACAAACATTAATAATTATGTATATATATATATATATCAGGTATGGTTTCAAAATCAAACAATTAAATAGTGTAAGCAAGAATCATACAAATGTTAATATACAAAAAAAAATGATCAACGAACCTATTCAAGAGTGAAATGAATACCTTGAAAAATTTTTCTAAGAAATGATAGTTATTTTTCAAGGATAATCAATCCATTAGAAAAACAATCTTTTTTTTTTTTGTTATTTCTTCATTTCAAACAGAAGGTTATTTTCTACTTTGTATTGACGATGCTATTTTATACGTTATTTTTCTTAATTATTATTATAACTATTGATTGAACTGATAGATAAATATGTTCTACATATCTATTATATATATAATAGGTATCAACGTACTATTACATATGTATATATATTAATAAGCTCTCAAACATTAATATTGATTATTTTTCAAAATTATAATATGATCAATGCATGCATTTTTATGTTGATTAAATGACGACTGTGACAAATCAATGCGTGACTACTCATCATCCTTGACGGTTTTTTTATTTGAATATAAATTTTTATCTGTATAATAATCAAAGACTACGTTATTGAAAATATTTACAAGTATATTTTAGTTAGTTAAATTTTAACAAAAATTTTCTAGAATAATTAAACTTTTATTATTAAATATTATTTAGCATTCTTTTTTTTTTAATATTAAAAGATTCTCTATAAAGAAATCTCTAAAGTATGTAATGAAGAGAATTGTAAAAGTTCAACATCAAACTTTTATTTATATAATTTAAAAAATATTTCCTAAAAACACAAATGTTCTTTTTTTGTGTGTGTGTGTATATTCGTATCAAATCCCTTCATATTATTGAGAAAAAGAACCTGTCATACGATCAATATCATATAGAGTCAGTAAGGTTTGAAATAAATCATGTCATACAATACAAGAAAAAAGTGAGAATACGAGAAAATGAAAACGTATCATTATCGCTTTCATTGTCATATAGTTAACTACTGTTAGTTTTATGTTTTAACATGAACGAATAATTGATATCGCAAAAACACAGAACGTTACATTTTTTTTTCTTTTTCGTTTTTTATACATTTTACATATATAACCATGTTTAATGGTGCAATCATAGCATATCATACTCAAGAAAGAGTCGCCGTCGTTTCGACCATGAAAGTAAAAAAAAAAGAAGCGTGTGTTAACAATAAAGAAAAAGATACAGACGATAATCAAGTTTTTTTTTTTGGTATTACTAGTGTTTAGAAGGTATATTATATCCATTGAATAGACAATCACGAATGGAACAAATTGACAAGCTTCGTTGTTTTTAATGTGAGCATACTTCAAATCATTGTTCTTTGTATGTGTTCGTTCATTACACAGATATTCATCAGTCATTCATATTGATGACAATGATAGTATGCATATGAGAATAAAAGAAAGAGGAGAAGGAGGTGATGAGACACACGAGACCTATTTCACTACAGAATATGTCTATCTCACACTTATTTGAAGGTAAATCGTGAATAAGGACAAGTTGTAATTATAGTATTCTGGTGTCTCGATTTCTTTTTCTTTTTTCTTTTTTTTTTTGACTGTATTATCATGTTCGTCGTTTTGTTATAGTTGACGGGGGAAATGTTCATTAGAGAAAGAATATAGACTTTTTGATATGCCGTATTTGTATTCTTTTGTTTAAATTTATATGAAATATTAAAATGAGAAAGAGAGATAAATGTATATAGTATTTTTTATATATCTTAGATTTTATTAACGTATGTTTGACTTCTTTTGATAGAAAGAGTAGTTACGTCAGAAAATTTGATTTTTTTTTTGTTTTTGATATTCTATTTATTTGAAATTCAATTTTTCATTAAATATTCTTATCGTTATTTGTCTTCTTCTCTTTATTTCAGTCTTCATATCAATATCAATACATTGATATCGGTGACAAAACGATTATTAAAAGCTAATAACAATTCAACAAAGTGATCAATGAATGATCATTCATATTTAAGCAACGAATAAATTTCAAAAAAAAAAAAAAAGAATAGAAAATCAAATAAAGAAGAATGATAATATACAATGAATTTAAGCAAATGTATGATTAACTAACAACTATTATCGATAATCTATTGAATTAAAAATTTATTCAATAGAATATCTATAAATAATGTTAATAAAAAGTCAACCTATAGCTCCTCTAGAAACAATTTATGAGGAGTCAGGTAGTTTTATTGCATCAACTGTTGATATTGAACGTCAACTAAATAATCAATCATATATAAATGAGACTTTTAATAGTCTCATTAGTTCTCATACAATACCAACAATTAATATATTACAACAAAAAACAAATGAAAATCAAAAAAAACCTCCTATTGAAGTTCGGTTTCGAGATGGATCGAAACGTTTTATATCTCCATCATTAACAAACCCAACAACAATGGTAACAAATAGAAGAAAAATATTTAATTCTTCTCATGATAATTTATCGTTAAATAATCAACAAATAAATAATGGAAATTTTCATGCAAAACATTCAAAAACTCCATTAGTTATAACAATTATAACAGCTGATGATTTAAATGAAGCTGGAATAACACCAACAATATCATCATCATCATCATCAGATGATTCTGAACGATCAACTATAGCTGTATCATTATCAAAATCATCAATTGATACTGTAATTACTGTACAAGATATTCGTCAAGGTTAATTATTTACATATATATATATATTCATTTTATTTTATTACAATTAAAAAAATTTCAAATTAAATTTTTATTTTAGGTTCTATTCAACGATTACCAACTACATCATCTATAAAATCAGTTGTTAGTGATTCTTCAATAAATCTTAATAGTACATCTGCTAATTTTCTACAACATTATCAACAACAACATACAGTTACAAATAATCGTTTAAGTTCAACATCATCACAAACATCTTTTACTTCAACTAATGATTTATCAACAAATTCAAGTCCAAAAACAATTATATCATCAATACAAACACCATTGATTAATGATGAAAATAAAAAAAAATTATTAATAAATTCAAATATTATTTCTTCTTCTAAACAATTAACTAATGAAACAGTGAATCATATAAATCAACCACATACAACATTATTATCAGGAGGTGGAAGTCGTAGTGCATTTCGTCCATTTCATAAATTGGTAGGTTGTAGCCAACAAACATTTCCTATTACATCACAAACATCATTAATTATTAATGACAGATCTAATTATTCTCCACATCATCAACAAGAAATAGTTTCAAATATTGAACATAATCATCAAAATTCAACAAAAATATTATCTCAATTACCTTCAACAAATATTAATTCATATGTTACAAAACCTTCTTATGATACAACAATATTACAACAAAAAAAAATATCAGAAACAACAACAAATCCATCAACATATATTAATTCTTTAGTAGAACAACTAGTAAATTAATTTTTATTTTTTTGTTTAGATAATAGAAAAAAAAACATATTTCTCAAATTTTTAACTTTTTTTTTATTTAGAATCTTTCAAATTGTCAAAAACAATCATTTCCATCATCAAATTCAACTATAAAACAAACAAATAATTCTTTGACGGTACCGAATCTATTCAATATTTCAACTAATTCAGGACAAAATGTTTCAGTAGCAAACAATTCAAATATGAAATGGTATAATGTAACATCAAATTCAATCAAAGAAATACCAAATCTATCAAAAAAATATTCCGGTATACCATTACGTGTAACATTACCTACTGGAACACCAACACATAATCAAAAATTAATAACTAAACATGATCGTGCATTAGAAAATCGTCTTTTAAATGCTGGTTTATCACCTGAAACAGTTGCACTCTATGAAAGAATACTTAATATTGCTGAAAATCCTTCACTATCAAAAATATCACCATCAAATGTTATCAATCAATATCTACAAAATCATTTCATATAAGAAAAATAAAAAAATATCTATGCTTTTATTATTAAAAAAAAAAAAAAATTTTTTTTCTTTTTTTACTTTTTTTCTTTCTGTGACAAACAACGAGGAATTTTTAATTTTACTAGTTTATTTTTTTGCAAAAAAAACGTAGAACTTTTTTTTTCTGTTTTTTTTTTTTAAAGTTCATGTTTTGTTTCTATTGAGAAAGGAGAGAAAATATTAAACATGCAAAGTCACACTCTTTGTTTATATATATATAGCATATATTGATTGATTCACTTGATTATTTTACAAAACTGAATTAATCATAATCAGTTGTATTTTCGATCGATAGATAATGACCAAAAGATTTAAACTGATTTTTTTTGTTAATTCATATACTTTGTTCAATTAAAAGATTTTAAAAAACTTCGACAAGTTTGTACATACATTATATTGAATCAAAAATTGTTTTCATAAAAAAATCATTAAAAGAATCTTTCAGCTAACTATAATCATATGAATACTCACAATTGTAATTTACCTATACATTAAAGATACTTGATACTATAGATTGAATACCAAACAGTGTAAATAATATGTGAATATTGAATAATGATACATGATTTCAAATACCTCAAGAATAGCAAAATGAAATAATACAAGTTTATAATAAACTTTATGTATATTTTATCTGTTCGAATCTTGAGTAGACAATAAATGATAATTGTAACAAGTATTAATGTTTGAGTTAAGCAAAATTATTATTAAGATTTATGATTATTTACTTCTCTTTATAATAAATAGAGTATAATTTAAAAAAGAATATATATGTACACGACACTATTATCTAATAACCTTAGGGCTTACTTCGACACCTATTACCGAATAGAAAAAAACAAGACAGTTGATATGATGATTAAGGTGAAGCTTCATATTAATGATTGTAGCAAAGGCCTTGATTATTTATTATGATTACCTTTTCTTTTTTGTTGGTAAAACACTATTGAATTTTTTTTAGTAAAATTAAGTTTTAATCTAAAAATTCTACTATTTATGAATTGAATTCATATTGAAATTGAAAGTAAATTTAATAGTATTTTATCTTGTCATTGTCAACTTGTGACCTCTTTTGGATTATCTTCTATTTTCACAATCCATCTTTTTTTTTTTTTTATTTATGTTTTTCATTCTAGATTAACATACATTTAATATCTAAAGAAAGATTTCTTTCTTATATTCTAATATGGCGTTAGATACTGGTGAAAAAACTATTATTAATTATGCTACTGAAGGTTAGTAGGTTTCGTTTTTCTTTTTTAATTGTTTTTAATTATTTATTTATTCAGGTAGTTTTGAAGATGTTGAACATTTACTTAAAAATCATGTTCCTGTTGATGTTCATGATGAGGTTTCTATACAAATTTTTTTTTTTTATTTAAAGAGAAAACAAAAAAAAACTCAATTGTTTTTTTTTAAATCTTAGCATGGGATGACACCATTGCAACATGCAGCATTTAAAGGACATGCAAATATATGTTCTCTTTTATTAGCACATGGTGCTAATGTTAATGATCATGAGCATGATCAAGGTTATACGGCTCTTATGTTTGCTGCTCTTTCAGGTATTAAATATAATATTATTTTTTTTTTCAATTCTAATTGTTTTTATTTTAAGGTAATAGAGAAGTTGTTCGTATTCTTCTTGAAGCAGGTGCTAAAACTCATCAAACAAATCGTATTGGACGAACAGCATCTCAATTAGCTGCATTTACTGGACAAAAACAATGTGTTGATACAATAAATAATTATGTAACACTTGAAGATTTAAAATATTATACGATTCCACAAGGTCAGTTTTTATATTGAGTATTTTTGGTTTTTTTTGCATGAATAAATCAATTATATATAAATAAAAGGAAATATAATAATTTATTTCCAGGCCAAGAAACAGAAGGTAAATTACCGGAATCTTGTATGCATGGTTTTCAACGTTTACTTATTACAATTAATTTCAATCCTGTTCATGTATGTAATGCGTGATTTTTGGATTTCCTTTTTTTATTTTAATATGTTTCCTGGGCTCCTATAATTTCTATTTTTTTGAAAAATTCTATATTTTGTCAAAAAAAAAAGTGGGACAATTTTACGAGATTTGACTTTGCCCTGAGAAAGGAGTACAGGGATCTTCACGGTGCTACCCCCCTTCCCCTCCTCGGTGATCACTTTTTACGAAAAAAAAACCAGGTAATGTGAATAGCTGTTTCTTGCAAGTAAAACGCATATATTTGAAGTGCGGTTCGACGTACAATACCTAAATTTTGATCAATTTTTTAATGAAAATAATTGTATAATTCAGAAAACGAAATCTTAGAATTTCGAAAATTTGTAATCGAAGGTCACCTATATACTATCGATAGACAAAAAAGAAATCATAGAAAGTCGATTAACAACTTGCCTTTTTAAAAAATATAAAACTTCTTATTCTTTTCTGATGCATTTTAATATCTAAAAAATAGTCAAAAATGAAAATTTGTCATATACGTCAAATAAAACCATCTCATGTATACACTTAGAAAAAAAAACACATAGTTTAGGCAATATTTTAAATATTTGATTACTATAAAAACATATAGTAAACCAAAAAAACTATTAAGTATTCTATAAGCATATGAAATTTTTTGTTTTTGTCATCCTATAAATTGAATCTACATCTATTTTATATGCATTACAAAATCTGTATACTTTTGAAAAGTTTAATATTCCCATAAGAATAAATTTGTATTAATTTTTTTGATAGACCTTGAATAGTGTTTTTGTTTTATACTTATAATAAAGCTTTAAAAAAAAACTTGATGTTACAATTATTTATTTTATTTCAAAAATTTATTAGAAAAAATAGTTTTGAAAAAAAAAACAAAAAGGTTTCCGATCCGTACGTTTAATTAATACTTTTATATAAGAAATATATAACTTGATAGAAAATTTCATAGGAATAATTGAAGCTTTTTGATTTATGTCCATTGAAGACATCTTCATTATAATAAAACTTTACAACTTTTATCATAGTTCTAAGAATCATCTAAATATTATTAACATACACATTAGAACTATTACAGTATTAGAGATGATTAAGTTTAATTTAAAAAAAAAAAGATTTATCATAATTCAATTTCATTTATATTTCAAGACATCAATGTTCTATGAAACATTTTTTTGTTTTCATATGGTACCATCATCATCTGCTTCCATTGACACGTCCTGTATTGTCTCATTGTATTGATAATTTTTTTTCTTTCTATGATAGACAGTAATGTAATAATTAATCATTTGATTAATAATTCAAATCGTAACTTATTAAAAATATAATGAATATTCATTTTCTTTAGAAAGTAGAAAGATACGATAGAAATGAAACATCATAAATGTCCTTAAGACAGATGTTTCAAAAATTTGTTTTTCATTATTTATTTATTACAAAGATCAACAAAACCGATGCGGGGAAAAAAGAAACTTTCTAGTGTAAATAATATTGAACGTACATCTTGATCATTTTTTTTTATATTGTCATGCTTTTCTGTCCTTTATTTATTCGATCTTATGTTATTTTGTTTAGATCATATAGAAGGATAGAATACATTCTCCTCTGTAAAATGAGATATTGTCCAGCTCTCTATGACATTTTTTCTAATTGAGATAAAGTAATTTGATCGAAGGTCAAAAAAATAATGTTAGAAACATCCAGAAGATTGATTTATGTTAGCTAAAGAGAAGTCGGAAATATCTCATTTTTCAAAGAATTGTTTACTATATCGTTTTGTGTAAACAAAATAACGTTATCGACATTAAAAATTAGCCTTTTGATTTTTATACATTCTCTTTCTTTGACAATTTGATAAGAATTTTTATTTCATTAATATTCTTTTCGGAAAACTATTTTCTCTTTCTAATGTTTATTGTAGCGGAAAAAATTAAAAATAAACATTATCAGAATATTTTTGGCAATATTTGTTTATAACTTGTCGATCAAAAGTATAATTTCTCTGATTGATCTTAATTAGTTAATAAAATAGAACTATATTAACAGTAAACTTATTAAAAAAATTTCTTATCAAATTTATAAATTTTATCTATTTTTTTTGTATTTATTTCTTTGATTTAAGTTGCTCAATATTATTTGTAAATATTCAGAATTATATCAACCAAGTTCAAATCTTAAACGAATTTCTAATACACTTTCATTTATAATTGAACGATCATTAGATCCATATCATACAAATGAACCAAATGATACACTTGCAATTAAATCACATTATATAAAAACATTAATTGATACTTTATTAGAAAAAAATATAGATAATATTGAAAAAGTTTGTAATGAATTACGTAAAAAGTAAGGAAAACAAAAAAAATATTTAATTGTAATTTTTATATTTACAGATTTGTACATGAAAATGAAAATGATAATTTTCGAATGTATGAAGAAAAATTTATTCGAGAAACTATTCGTAATTTTCCTTATAAACAATGTCCACTTCTTCAACAACTCGTCAGACTTATTGCTCCAATTGAATTAGTAAGTTTTATGAAAGATTTTTGTATAATTATATATTTTTTTTTTCGTCTTATATCCAACAAGAATGAAGGTCATATATATCATATATTTTTTGTTTCTTTTTATCCGAATAAATAAAGAATATCTTATTATTCTCTATTGAAAATCAAAATAATAGATCAGATAAGCTTAATATCTGTCTATTTGATTATAAATAGTCGTGTAACAAATTTCGATGATTGTGTATAAAATTTTAGGGTCAAAAGCCATCCGCTCTATCTGTCTTAACTACAACTCTCAATGGACATGCTTTTGAAGATGAAACACATAATCGTTGTGATGCTTGTAGTCAACTGAATGCTAATCGTCGTTGTGCTGCATGCAAATCGGTCAGTATTTTAAGTTCAAATAAACTATCTTAACATGTTTTTTTTTCTTCATTCAGGCGTATTATTGCGACGAATCATGTCAACGATTATGTTGGCCAACTCATAAGCGTATCTGTTCGTCATTAAATAAAGATAAATGAATAATAAACATTTCTTATATACGTTTTCAAGGCTATTGTATTTACTCATGTGAACTATAAATATATTATTTGTTAACTAGTAGTCCATTTCATATATATTGACATTTTTTGTAAAAGTAATAAATATTAGCTAAAGTTTAAATTAAATATTTCTTCTTCCTTTTTTTTTGTTTCTTTCTTTGAACTAATTTAATTTCAGAATATTCTCTTTTTTTTTTAACATACTCTTACTAAATTAATAATTTATATGATGTCAATCATGAACAGAATAAAAAAAAAAAAGAAGGACGATTTTTATACTATCATTAATCTATAATCTATTTCTTGGATAATCGAAGGAAAGTCGATGTATATTATAGAAAGAGCATGAATTATAAAAAAGAAATCAATTACGGCATGGTTATGAAGAAGTAAAATCGAAGCTTTCTCGGTATTTTTTTTTTCTTCCTGCAATGTTTTTTTTTCTATTCGTCTCTCTAACCAGCCCTATTACCATTACCGAGTCGACCCTTGTATGTTTATAGATACAATATAATATAATAATGCATGAGACTCGACAGACATTCTTTCTCTTCCATAGATACTTCTTTTTTCCTGTAGCACAACGGAAAAACATACTATAACGTTAACTTATACATTATACCACTCTGTTTTCTATCGTGAAATTGTTCGTAAATATAATTTTTTTCTTGATTCTAATTTGAAGTAAACATTATATGACTATACAAATTGATCACAAAATTTTTGTTAGTCAAATGCAATTAGTATTTATATGACTAAGAGACGAATAAAAAATATCAGCATGTATGTCTGTGATGATGAAAATTAAAATAAATTTAACCAGTTTGAATAAATAATGATTGTTGAAGTAGTCCAACAGGTTTGTCGAGATTTTTCTTTTTTTTTTTTACATGAGAAGTAATTATTTTAGGTTGACTCAAATTTAAAGTATATTACACATACAATCATATACGAAGATTATTGATTTCGTATATATATATATGAATAAAAAACTTGTTTTAAATTTTATTTCTTATTTTCATTATATATATATATATTTTTTTTTTTTATTAATCAACTTTAGATATCAAATATCATGCAGAATTTGGTATCGAATATAAAAGGTAAATTGGTTGGTAATACAACCGAAACAAGTCCTAATGAAAAATTATCACCAACTTCAACGGAATCATACGGTTTTCGTCAAGTACATATACCTGAAGCTAAAATAGGCTTAGGTTCAACAGAAGCTGATTTGATTTATATGGTAAAAAAATATCTTGAAATTGTTGGACTTATCGTTATTGTTTGGGTAGTTGGTAAGAAAAAAAAAACAATAAATTTTACTTCATAATGGATGTGTATCTTTTTTTTTTATATGATTCTCTCTTTTGAAAATATCAGAATAATTGATTAATAGAGGAGCTTTCTTGTATTAAACAAAAACAAAGTGTACAAACAAAAATATGAAATCGATTCCCTACAGAAATATAATTTCTTTCATGTCAAATTTTTACTTACAATGTCTCCAAAGTGATTCATAGTAGAACTAATTCAATAATACCGTTTTTTTTTACTATGTGCTCGTCGATTGAAATAATCAATAGTTACTAAGAATAACTAACTATTTTTATCTACCAATGCAAATATCAACTAGATTCGTATTTGTATCGTTTGATAACTGTTTTCAACAGCTTCAGAATAGTATAAAAATATTATGGAAAACAACATTATCTGATATATGTTTATCTATTGAGTATTACTCAGAATTTTCACTGGAATCACGTACTAATATCATATAATAATATCATCGATTGGACTAGTCTTTATATGATTTTGAAAGTCTAGAGATTGATGAAAAAACACTAAATCTTATAATATATACAATAATCTAAGACTATTTCAATTGGTCGAATACAGAGCATAAATAAATATTATAGAATTAAATTCTATTACAGATCACTTTGGAACGCTTTGAATGAAAATTTGATACAAAAGAAATTATGTGTTTGTAAGAAATCGATTTCATCAGTTATTAACTTCCATTCTTCTTTAATTAGAATCTTTTGTAGATTTTATAATAATATTAATTGAAAAATCTAATCGTTTGTAATCATTAAAAACCTCGAAAACTAACAAATTGACATTATTTAGTGATAACGGATCATAATGCAGATAGTCTCCGGTTAAAAATAATTTGACACTTAAAAAACGTTCTCTGGAAAGTATAAAATGTCGAGCTTTTTATTGATTAATAATAATTTTTAATTTCTCTTTATGATACATATTAACAAAAGATTGTTCGTATAAATCAAAAAGTTGAAGTTTTTTCAATATTAAAAAAAAAATCTTTCTCTATAAACATCAAAGAAAGAAAGAATTATATAATTTATCAGTACAAAAAAAAAAACTAAAGAATAAAAGTACATTGAATACGATTCGTTTTATAAAATCAATTTCAAAGAATTATCATTCAAATAAATATGATTTTAATATCTTTTTTTTTTGTTTTTATTTTAGGTTATTTACGATTTAGTGTTTCATGGATTTTACTTATTGTATTTATATATTTATTTCGTCAACGTCAACGAGCACTATCTAAAGAAAGACATAAAATGATTAGTGAAATAAATGATAGTGAAGAACGATATATAAAAGCTCGTTTAGATGAATTACCATCATGGGTATAGTAAAAATAATAAAAACCATCATCATTCGTTTTTTTCTTCTATTTATAGGTTTTTTTTCCTGATGTTGAACGAGCTGAATGGTTAAATCGAATAATAAAACAAGCATGGCCATATGCAAATAAATATCTTGATAAAGCTATTTTTCATGATGTTATGATTCCAATGATTCGTAGTACTTCACCAGCTTTATCAGATTTTTCATTTGATAGACTTGATCTTGGTGAAATTGTACATTATTAAATATTTAATTTTTTTAATAGTTATATATAGATTTTTTTTTTTCTTTAGCCACCAAGAATTGGTGGTGTAAAAGTTTATACAGATAATGTTCGAGATCAAATAATGATGGATATTGAAGTTTTGTATGTTAATATTTAATTATTTTTATTTTATAGAATTATTATATTTTAGTTATGCTGGTGATGCACGTATTAAAGCTAATGTAAAAGGTATTGTATGTGGAATTAAAGATATACAATTTGTTGGTGATATACGAATTATATTAAGTCCATTAATTAATACAATACCAATAGTTGGTGCTGTTACTTATTTTTTTCTTCGAAAACCAGTAAGAATTAGAAAAATTTTTATTTTAATTTATATATTAACAAATGTTTTTTTTTTGTAGAGTATTGATTTTAAATTAACAGATGCTGGAACATTAGTTGATATACCTGGTCTTAAGTAAGAATAAATTAAAAATATAGAAATAAATAAATAAATATTTATTATTTGATAGTGATTTAATGCTTGTTCAAATAAATGATATTGTTGCATCAATGATGGTTTTACCTAATCGACAAGTTTTTCCTTTAGTTTCAGATTTACAAATTGGACATTTACGATGGTCAAATCCTGAAGTAAAATTTATTTATTTAATAAATTTACAATGAAAATCTTATGTTTGTTTTGCATTAGGGTGTTGTTCGAGTTATTGTTATAAAAGCAAAAGATCTTGTTAAAGCTGATATACAAATTCTTGGTCAAGGAAAAAGTGATCCATTTGTTAAAGTTAAAGGTATAATTTAGTTGATTGAAAATTTTCTATAAGAATTGACTATTTTTTTTTTTATTGTTTATAGCTCAAGGTAATGTGGAATATAAAACAAAAACAATTAATAATACAACAACACCACAATGGAATGAAGTATGTATGAAAGATTTTTAAATGATGAAGAATTAGTTTATCTTGAATGTAAGGTATTTGAATTTGTTGTTGAACAATCTGAAAGTGATGCAGTGGAATTTGAAGTATATGATGAAGATCCTGGTAAAGATGATTTTCTTGGAAGGTAAAGCATACTTATATATTTCATTTCGAACGATTCTTTGTACTACTAACAGTAGAATGATGTTCAAACGATAGGCAACCGTCTAAGTCTCCCCCTCAAAATCGATCTCAGCCTAGAAACGTCCGAATCGAGCTGAAATTTTCAGCTCGAGATCATAACATTTGACAGAGATATGAACCAAACATGAGTCAAAAATAGCAAATTTGACAAACAAGACTCGTATAGCATATTTATTTTTTTTAATACTTAATTTTTAAGCGAACAAAAGAAATGACAAATTCAATGACTCAAAAAACCCCTAAACAATGGTGCTATTTCTATAGAGACATTCTTGTATATGATAATAAAAAAGCTTATTTCAAAAAAAAAGGATTCTTTGGTGCACTGCATCTTGACATGCTCTTTCTAACCAAAAAAAAATACATCACATTTTTGTTTGTGCATTCCAGATATTCATGAGTTAAGAAAAAAACGAAAAAGGTTTTTGTTTTTTTTCAAAAATGGCTTATTTTTCGAATAGGAGATAGCAGAAATGAGAGACCAGATCACGGGCTATCTTCTCCTGTAGTTATCTCAATTTCGATCATTCTGACGAAAAGCGACTTTTTGAGGGAGGCGGCCTTAGGGATACCCTTTTCCATGTTTTGCCCTTAGACAGTTAATTGTTACATATTAAAACTCGTTTCTTGTCTTGTTTGAGTCATATGGGAGATTATTCAATTTCTTGTTTAATTTGAAATATAATATTTAATTGAAATATACGTTTTTGGAAAGAGTTTCGTTATTTGAAGTTTCAGTTATAAAAAGAATGTGTCTAAAATGTTTACATAAATGGTTTTAGATAAATAATCTAATAGATCTTTCTTTATGTAATCAATATAGTCAATATGTTCTGACAAGAAGCTATTTCAGAACTGATAGATAAAAGTCAAGCTTGAAATAAGTATTCAAGAACATCATAAATCATAATACTCTAGCAATCTATCTCATTTTCAAAAAAAAAAACAATCTATTCTCTTCTGAGACTCATTTTTTGTTATAACATTGTTAGAAAGTGAATCTTTCAAAAGTTTTACAAAAATTTTATATTGATCATTTTTCGATTGAATCTTCATTATTACATTGATTTTTTTTGTCTATAAAGAATTATTATTTACTGAAATGTCTATGATATAATTTTCTTTTGTTTTTTGTTCATTTCGAATATGGTATTCATTTCTTTAACAATATTTCACTTAGAATAGAATAGATTTTTTCTAGAAATGAGATAAATTCAAAGCATAGGAGACGTTGTTGCTATATTTATTCATCAATAGATTTTTAAATGTAATAACACTCGATGAAAATTCGTTTAGATGATATGAGAATAACACTAGCGGCGTAACCAGAGTTTTGACGATGGTAGGGCTCAGCAACGCTTAAATATCCGGTGGTAGGGCTCAAGTTACTGAGGACTGTGGGGTGGTAGGGCTTGTGAAAGGAGTCAGCTGACGATGCTAACACCGATGGTAGGGCTGAGCCCTCCTGGCCCTACCTTGGTTACGCCACTAAATGATACCTGTCACACTATATCAATCTGTAGTAATATATAAAGTGATGATAGATTGACGATTATATCCAGTGGTAAACTTTATTAACTGTTGTATACAGTTTAATAGTGTTAAAATGAAAATCATAATAAGATGAAATGACAATATTGATATAGCTAAAGAAAAATTTCTATGTAGTAAAATCAAATTTTTTTATAGTTTGCAAATTCAATGGAAGTTCTTTCACTATATGATATTATAATCATCATAAATATTTTAGATTATTTTATAAAATAGTATTTTTTTATTTGTTCTTTTGTACAGGGCTCAATATCCAATAAATACATTAGTTGGTAAAGAAGCTGTTGATACTGTAAGTGAAAATTAGTTATATATATATATATTTGTAATCATTTAACTCTATTATTTCTAGTGGTTAACATTACAAGATGTGAAAAAAGGTTCAATAAATGTTTGCCTTCAATATTTTTCATTAACTACACAAAAATCTGCTATTGATATTGTAAATAATAAATAGATTTCTTTTGTTTTTGAATTAAAACTTCTTTTTTTTGTTTAAATTTAGATGGAAAAAGTTAATAGTCAAAAGATTAAACAAGAAAAATTATCTAAAGCACTTCTTATTGTTTTTATTGATCGATGTACTAATCTTCCTGTAAGAATAAATAATAGTTTTTTTTTTTTTTTAATTAATATTCTATTTATTTTTTTTTTTAGAGTTCAAAAAAAACTCGTCGAGAACCAAATCCATTTTGTCGAATTAAAGTTGATTCAATTGAACGTAAAACTCAAACATTTGAAAATCAAACAAATCCATTATTTGAACATATATCACAAATATTATGTTCAAATCCTTTACAACAACAATTAACTATTGAAGTATGTGATGCACGTTCAAATAATGATATAATTGGTATTTTTCAATTACCTATTAAACAAATATATGATACAGATACAATGATTATTGATTCACAAGCATTTCCATTAAAAGGTGTATCTGAACCTTTAGATAATGTTTCAATTATTCTTCGTTTAACTCTTAATGTAAGTTAATTTGATTAATAAAACTAATAACAATCATAATATATTATTTTAGATTTTATGTCCTGGACGTTCAAGTCCATTATCAGAAATATCATCAATAAATAGTGATAGTTCAGTTGATAATTTCACCAAAGATTCATTAAATCAAGCATCACCTACAGATGTTTCTTCAAATCCTCTTCATCAAGTAAATAAATGATTCTTTGAAGATATATATTGATAATTTCAAACAAAATGAATTATTCAATTTGACAGAAAATTCAAATTATTATGAACTATTTCAAACACCCGGCTTTGCTTAGGAAATTCAATATTTCATGTTTGACATATTCGAAAACGGTAGTCTTATAGTTTTCTATAAGCTATCGATCTTGAATGTTACAAAATATGTTAAAATCCCTTTTCCTTTTCAACTTTTTGTAGTTTTTGGCATTTTTAAATTTTGTGAAAAAACTTCTTTTTTTTTTTATTTTAAAAATATTTTCGAATGCTTGATGAATGCTTTGAATAACTTTCTAAGTTAGTTTGAAGTTTAAAAAAGAAGAAAAGTTCTTTGAAAAATGATTTCATCGTTTTGTAACATTTTCGTTGAAAACTTAGCCGAAAGAATATTACTCACTAAGAAATTATACTAAAATTTCCCTGTTCAAAAAATCGACCAATCAAATTTAAGCATACTTTCATACCCTAAAATCTCAAATCTTTATCTCTTTTGATTCTCGAGTTATTGAGATTACATTCACACGCATGAAATTTTTCGATGGAACACTTACTGTAGCGCTCCACACAATGGGATTACTAAGCACTCTAGACGGAAAAATTTTTGAGTCGAAAAGTAGTCTACAGTGGCGTAGCTAGGAATTTTGGAGTCATGGGCAATTCAACAGCCGAACTATTTTGAATTACGAGCAGCTAAGGGCAACCGTTATGATTTCAAAAATATCTATGGGCAATAACTGTTCAAACACTGCATAGCTCAATAAATCCATGAGCAATAACTTTTGGAGCTATGGGCAATTGCCCAATGGCCCTACCCCTGGCTACGCCACTGGTAGTCCATGACTTTTCTATGGAAGAAAGAGTATGTCATGCAAAGTTTGGTTGTACTGGCTCCTACAGGAATACAAATGCATAAAGAGCAAACAAACAAACATTCTTCTTTATATATTAGACTATATCGAGTTATAAACTCATTATCTGAAAAATGACGCATTTATTCAGCTTAGAGTCATAAGTTAATCCAAGAATTGTAACAGCCATACATAAGTAGCTGCTCAAATGATAATATTTTCATTCGAAAATTTTATAAATTCTCTATAGGTTTATCCAAGGGGGAAGAAACTGATTTCAAACGCGGAAATCAACTTGAAATCATTGAAGTCATCTGAAATCACTTGAAAATCACCTGCAATTTGACCAAGTCACTAAAGAAGAAAAAATTGATTTCAAATGATTTCGTAAGTTTCTGGTGATTTCAGTTGATATCAAGCAATTTTAAATGATTTCAGGGATGCACGAAAGTCAAAACTTTCAGCCTTGGTCTCCGTGAGTCTCCCTACCGGTCATTGCCAGCCTGGTACACCGCTAGATAATGTCATATGATTTTTAGTTCATGTCGAGCGATTTCGAATAATTTTAACCTGTCTTGAAACTGGTTTCAATTAATTTCGATTTCGCTCGAAATCAATCGAAATCATCTGAAATCAAATCACTAATTTGAAATCACGAAATCAGTTACTTCTTCCTTGAGGTTCATCACAAGAAATCAAATATGTTTCGTTAATGTAGTTCTTTTGAATATCGCTGTCGATATAAGTGAAGAAAATGCGCCCATGAACGCACATTCGAAAGGTCTAAAGGGACCAGTGGCGTAGCCAGAGGTAGGGCCATTGGGCAATTGCCCATAGCTACAAAAGTTATTGCCCATGAATTTATTGAGCTATGCAGTGCTTTAGCAGTTTTGGCCCATAGATATTTTTGAAATCATAACGGTTGCCCTTAGCTGCCCGTAACTCAAAATAGTTCGGCTGATGAATTGCCCATGACTCAAAAATTTCTGGCTACGCCACTGGTTCATATCTTCGATTGTCTAAAATGTTTAATATCAATCAATATTTTCTCATATTTATTTTACAAATTAGAACATCTTTTGAAAAATTTCTATAGAATTAATAATGAACTTTTTCTAATTTCAATTTAAATCTAATCATAAAGATTTAGTTAACAGTAATTTTCTTCTTTTTATTTGTATTCATTAGCTTACTTCATCTGTTCCACTTACACAATCAAGAAAAAGTTCACCAAGTGACAATAAAACTCTTTTAATTTCTGATGATCCTGATCTTAAGTAATTTATACAATTAAATTTCTTTTTTATTCTATACATTCTTAATTTTAATATTAAGTTCAACACCATATGGCATGATAAAACTTGGTATTAATTATGCTATTAATAGAAAATCTTTATCTGTAACTGTATATGCATGCAAGTTAGTAATATTTATTTTATTGATTAACTATTTATTTATTTTGTCTAGAAATCTTATTAATGTTCATCGTGAAAATTTACCAGATCCATATGTACGTGTTTATTTAATGCCTGATTTTAAGAAAGATAAAAAGAAAACAAAATCTGTTCATGATACACTCAATCCAACTTATGATGACTTGTATAACAAAAAAAAAGCTTTTTTTTTTGTTTTAATATTCAATAGATGTTTATTCTATATAGATTTGAATGGGCAGCATCATTAGCCGATATACGTCGACAACATCTTTTTATAAGTCTTAAAAATAATTCACCTTTATTTAAACAAGAAGAAACATATATGGGAGAAGTATAATATAAATAAATTATTTTATTTTTAATAATGAAATATTTTTATAATATTAATAGATTGAAATTAATTTATCAAATCTTGATCCAGAAAAAACTAGTATAGCTTGGTATGCTTTACAAGAACCAAATACAAGTGCTAGTGGAATAATGAAAATAAAATATGATACAAGTGACTCTAAAACACAATTTTAAATTATTTTATTTAATCTTGCTATATTATATTCTCATAAATTTTTCAAATATTATGTGCGTGATTTCAATTATGCTTTTTTTATTTTTATTCTCATCTTTATATAATCTCGTAAAAGCCAATAGAATCATTTTTATTCTGTAATTTTTTTTTCAATACTTAGATTTTAGAAAGAATATATAGATATAATCAATACGAATTCATAAAACAGAAAAATTATTTATTATTGACAGAATTATTTTAACTCTATGAATATTATGAATCTGCTAGTGAGAAAAAATTATTTTTCGATTTCATACTCAAGACAATGATCATCTGTTATGAATATTTACTTTAAAACTGTTGTAAAATATTGAATACTAGATCAACTAAAGAAAGAACGTAATTATTTATAATTATATCTACAGAAATATACAACAACAAAATTTCATTTACTTTCAACCTATATTTCAAAACAATCTTCTCTCAAGTACATATGAAGAATCTTTTTACAATAAGAACAGTAATAAACAATTTTATATGCCTCTTTGCTTGTCTAACAAGCAAAACATACTTATATTAATTATCAATTATTGAATCAGATAACCTCTTCTTATTTGCTGTATTAAACGATATTATACACAAATAAGAAACAAAATATTCGTTCAAAATGTCTATACTATAGTTTAAAATGTCTTGCACATCTCTCACGATCGATCATCTTTTCGAAGAATACCCTTCAACTAGTTTGAAACGTATTTACATTCATCGGGTTTAGGACACTTGCTCGCTATAACAGTTACATAGGGTCCTATAGCGAGCAACTGTCCGCGCGCAACTGTCCGGATCCCGTTTTTATATATTTCATCATAGACGGTTCATAATTTTCTAAAAGAGTTTATCGAGCACCTCTCTGAAGTGCAAATATTCGTGTTTTTTATAGTCAATGTACAAAATTATATTTTGATACAAATATTTACATGAAAGTAACTAGCATTCTGATTACTTCTCAACAAATATAGTCTATTAATATTCTTTAAAATTCATCAGAGTGTAAATTAAATTAGAAATAATATATTATAAAGAAATTCTAATATCTTCATACTATAATTTTATTTTAGTTTAAATACTAATTTTGATAATTTAAATTTGTTTTTCTATTTCAAATTACGAAAATTCACGTTTGAAATAAACTCCAATCATAAGTTGCAAAAATATGTTTTTTTTTCTATTTTTTTCAATATAAATTAATTTTTCTTGACGTCAGCGGCAGCAAGAAAAGCTTTTAGAAATATAAATAAAAATTTTTATTTAATTATAAACTATTTCATGTAAACAATTCTATATTCAATGATACAGCCTTTTATTCATGATGAAATTTTAAACAAACTCTGACGTGAGTAAAATTGTATGAGATAGCATCTGGAAATGTTTATTGACATGTAGAAGTTGATCATTTGATCGTAGACTGTAATGAGGTGGGCGATTCATCAATGATTCATTATGTGCATGACCGAATCTAATCATCTTACTTATACTTCTATCATTTAAATTAGTCCGGACTTGATCGAGTACATAAGATTACCATTGTGTTCTACGTAGTGTTGTGGTTGCTCTTCCTTTTTTAATTTTTCGCATAATGTTATGATTCTTAACATAGAAGTAATTAAAAAATTGAACAAAATTTATTTTGCAAGCTTTTTACATGGTCTATAGAGCTCGACGAACTCTACAACAACAACTATATTAAGAAATTTGAACAAACACTTTTAAAAAAACAGTTCTTTTTCCATTCCAGAACACTAGAGTCAATTGTTTATAACATAATAAGCTTTTTCAAATTGTTACTTTTCATGAAATATACTAAAAAAGTGTTCAATAGATGCAATGTACGAAATTGCATTTGATGATTGTTAGGATTCACGCTTACGTAAGAGCGACGAACACTATTAAAGATGTATGTATTTTTGTTTTTCTCTCTGTTTATTCTTTGAAAAAAAATCAATGTTTATATACGAACATGAAAATAAAGACAAAAGTAGAATAGAATAGAAAGATTAATCAAGGTCAAAGAAAAACAATAGAAACGAAAATATCAAAAGAAAAGAGAAATTTATTATAAAGTTGAATATTTTTCTAATATATGAAAAAAGTAATTTCTTTAAAATGTTTTGTAAATTTCATCTAAGAAAGTGCGTTTAAAAATGAATGTTTTTCTATATGTCCTTGTCACATTCATCGATCTCTATCGAAGCATGTAAGGACGTTGTAAAAAAAAAGGTTTTGTTCAACTTTGGAATCACTTGTATGTTTTAAAGAATGCAAGGAAACTAGAACAGTAATTAGATTGAAAAAATTTAATAAAACTGATGGAACAACAGCTTGCTAACAGTTTCTTTTATATTGATGCAAAACAAATGTCATGTTTATTCATCAACTTGAAAGAGCTACATGTTTTGTTCTATGTCTAGATCGTCAAATATCAAAACTCTACTTGTCTGATTAGGATTTTTAAAAATATATTTCAAAAGAAATGGAAGATGTTTAGTTTGAGCAATATACGTTTGACTAAATATTATAGACAATGAATAGAGTTGATTGTAACATTTTTCAATATTGACTTATTTTTATTCGACAATGAAATGACAAAAACAAAAACAGATATACAGAAAAATCATTATATTCTATACACTAAGGTTTCTATAACGATAAGAATCCTTCAGATTCTTGCTTTACATCTAGAAAAATTTTTTATCATGTTATCATATCGGGGATTTTACAATAGAAGGTTTTTAATGAAAAATCTGCTATAAGACATTTGCTTTTATTCAAACACTACAATCTATTATTGTTAATGTACATATTTAAAGTTTATTGATGAGAAGAATTTTTCAAAGACATATTTATTACTATAAATCATAACATCTGTTGTTGTTTGTTTATGATCATTGATAAATTTTAAAACGATGTAGTCGTGCAAAACAGTCAAAAACATTTTTTGTGGCACAGAAACTACTGAAAGAATTCTATCAAAAATATTGTTCAATCTTGATAAAGATAGCATGTAAGGCTACAGTTCTTCTAGATCTTTTATGCTATTGTGACGAGAAAAAAGTTTTAAAAGTCAAAAAGAAAAAGAAAAAAGGAAAGTAAAAGTGCCACCCATAACAAGAAGAGTAATAGTAACATTTGCGCAGTTTATGAAGCATGAAGTTATAGAACGTGTCGCGAAGAAAAATAATTTATTCTCAAATACGACATGGAAACCATTTTTATTTAAATCCCAATTGCTTAAAGACGGAACAGACAATACAAAAAATGATTTCTTATCAAAAGTGTTTTACAGTGACTGTTTTTTTTCTGATAGAACATTGAACCAAAGTATATGTGAGAGTAGAGAGAGAGAAAGCTGGTATCCGAGAAAGTTGAGTAGTAGGCGTCAGTAATTTTCCTGTAAATGCTTCTTTTCTACGATTGCAATATTTTATATGGAAGCTATCGTTAGACGAGATAATTCTTTATTAGAACAATCATTCATTTATTCTTTGATCATTTTGATTTCTTCGTTTTTTAGCGTTTTCAAACTGTCAATCAATTCACATTTGTCTAAAATCAGGTAGGTTTTACACAGATTGAAATGTGGATTAATATAAATATGCGACTTTGAAGGATAAATTTAACCAAATATCGACGCCCATATGACTCAAGTTTCACCCATGAAATCAACACCTGTGTAAGTAGAAAACTTGAAATAATTTTATATGTAATCTAAAATCATTGAAGCCAAAACAAGAATCTAAGCACTGTCATCATGTTCGTCCTTCTTATCATAGCAGTGGCTGCTATTGCAATAGCCACGCCAATGGCATTGAAAGGTGTAGGTATTTTTTCTAAAATAACATCTACACAAAAAATGATAACACCAATCACCACTACAATATCTACCACCACAACAGTAGTTACTACTACAAGATCTACCAACACAACAACAGTAACAAGAGGAAATAGCACAGGTAAGAAGATACATGAGTTTTCTTCGATTTTAGTGTTCAACAAATGATTTCATTGCATCATGTAAATAAGAACAGGTTTGAATAAGAATATTATTTGTCAAAGTCTGCTCCAACGCTACTCTTCTTTTTCTAATCGAACTTCAGCAAGTTCTATGTGTTGAGTTAATTCAATTTCTTATAGCTCAAAAAAAAAAAACGTTTCTGAAAATATTAATGTTAGAAAGATTTACCATGGAACCAATGAGAAAGTCTCATCAGTTGCTCGCCCGCTGATTTCAGTGATTTTTTGCCTATGGATTTGATATTGATATCCTATCTCTTCCTTGAAATGGTACGAGTCAGAATATTCTTTTTCTGATATTGTTTTGTATCTATTATATTCATAGAAATTTAAATCGCTCGGTTCTTTTTCTTGTCACTTACAGAATTTTGTTTTCCAAACGATGATTCTATACAAAATTTCTTCACGTAAAAATATCCATTCCTACTATCGTTAAGTATATATGTTGGTAGTAATGATTTTTATATTGTTACAGAATGAAGTTACTCTTTGATAGTGGTCTACTGGCTGTACACTTCATTTTCTTTTTCTCTTCCACTGATTTGTTTTTTCATCTATTCTTTCATCATCAATCTTCTGGCATATATGATACATATGCATAGCTTTTCCAATTGTTAGTACGAATTCTTGGATATTTCTTGTAACAGGTTTTCATTTTCTCATCCATTGTGTATTGTGATTTATTGTCCACATTGATTCATGGGATTCTTCTCCACTCTGTTTTGTTATTATCCGATGGAGTATTCCCATAACATCATAAGTACAACCATCATTATGTACAGCTGCTAATTATGTATGAAAAATGTGACAGAGAATGTATGTTTCTATTGACATTTTCGTTGTTTTTCTTTTTTTTTATCATGTTCTTTCTCTCATCTACATTTCAACAAAGGATTTACATCCTAGTCTCATTCACTACATAACAATACAGAAAATTGTCAGTGCAGAT